CAACTGAAAGAAAAACTACAAAATACTTGTATATCCAACACAAACAAAAAGTTCCTACAGTAATATAGTAGATTGTGACATTTGTTATATTAATAATAATTACATTCCATGTTGTGTTTCTAAACACACTGAAAAAATAATGCATGAGTGGCTATCAGCTACAGATAAAGCTTTATATATAGTCAAAGGCAAGTATGGTATCTTCTATTGCATCACTTTCATATCCAAACAAGAAATCTGCATCTCATGACGTCACTAAATTCAAATCATCCAAGACAAAAATGAGAGAATGAATGATATCACAAGAAAACCTTGTTTTGAACTACTCTTAAACATATATCATGATTCATAACTCCAGTTCGAATTATCTGGTTTGGCATAAGCAAAAACCCACATACACAGGCACCAAAAAACATGGCATCATCTATAATTTTTTTTTCTTTTTAACTAATAAAAAACGATATTTGATAATTAATTGAGAACTTAATTATGTATTTGAGGCATTTATATAACAAACTAGAAGTACTGTAATTAGGTCAATTTAAATCAATTTCAAAATTTAAGTTGGGGAAGATAGGTTAACTAAAACGAATTCACTACTCCACTATACTGAATCAATTTCAATGAGCAATGTTCGGCCTTTACTGACAATATAGAAACAAAAATTCAGAGGGAGTGAATAGAGATTAGGAGCGAGAAGAGGGGGGACATGACCGAAAGTAAAATCTTACCGCCGCCGATGATCAGTGATGATGGAGATGGTGGGGAAGTTGGCTGCGTTGTCGGTGATGGTTCTGTTGAGAGGAGGGTTCTGAGGAGTTACAATTCTTTTTATTTTTCCCAATCCGCACGAACAGAGGGAGTTATCAGTGTTCTCTTTGGGTTGTGAGGTCTATGTGTTATATTTGCTATAACACTTTTAAAGAGAAGTGTTATCTTTTGTTCTCATTGTATAGCGTTTGTTAAAACGAGTGTCATCTGTGTGTTCCCTTCTCTTAGCATAGCACTTTCTTAAAAGAACGCTATATAAGAAGTGTTATCTGAATCAATTTTTGTTGTAGTGCATAGAAAAAAGCATCAGACTCAATAATCCAATCATAACCCTGATTCTATCATAACTCTAATGTCAAAATAGATTTACAATAACAAAAAAACTGTAAACATTTCGAAATTGTTCGAAACCCTAATTTCATAATGAATGTACAATAAATAAAATGTAAGCAATTTGAAATTGTTCGAAACCCTAATTTGAAAATAAAACCCTAATTTGAAGAGGAACCCTAAATTCATAAACATATTTAAAATCTTTCGAAGCCCTAGGTCAAAATCTACAATAATATTTAACAATCGATCACTACTTAATATGTAATTAACACTGAATTAAAAAATCACAAACAAGAAAATGTTTCCAGATCCCTAAGTTCGAATCGACCGACGATTTTCAGAATTTTGACAACAAAAATAAAAAAATGACGGATTGACATACCTGTCGGTCATAGTCGTTTCAATGGGACCGCAATTTGTGAGCTTCGACAACAAGATTGTGAGCTTCGATGAGAATGGGACCACAGCGTTTTCAAAGAGCGAAAAAAAAATTCTAAGTATGAAAATGGAAATTAGGTTTTCTTGATTTGGGGGAAAATGCGTGTTTTATAATGCCTTTACCACGTCACAACACTGAGAAGCAAGCTAGTCCACGTAGGTAGAGCTTAACAGACACGCTGGCAAAAATGAAACGGCCGTCTGAATTTGGGTTCGGGTTGCAAAAACGGGACAAGGTTAGGTTATTTTTGCTAAATCGCAAAAGTTTGGTTAAAACGGCAAAAAGTTGTAAGGTCGTGCTTTTACCGGCAATTAGGCCTTATTATTATTATTATTGTTGTCTCGTGCCATTAGAATTAAAGTCTGAAACGATAAAATAGAAACAAAATATCGGCCATGTTTTAGGAGTCCAAATATGATTTAAAGAATCAAAACACAGTTAGGAATATCAGTTAATTACTTGGATTTGGCGTAGGATTTAGCCAAGAAGAAACTTGCGGGCACTCGAAGCATCTAGAACATTCTACGCCTATTCTCCATAGGCAAAAATCCCTCCCTATAAATAAAGGCTTCCTCTTAGCCCAACAATCCACCAAACAATCTTCAGAGCAAAAACAAACTCATCTTCTCAACTGCACTTCTTCTCTATCAAAACAAACCTTTCGAATTTTCTCCTTTCCCCTCCAAAACATGACAACAATGCAGTTCTTCGTCAAGACCCTCACCGGGAAAACAATCACCGTCGAGGCCGAAATCTTCGACAAAATCGACACTGTCAAAGCCAAGATTCAGGACAAAGAAGGGATTCCATCCGATCAGCAGCGGCTTATCTTCGCCGGAAAACAGCTCGAAAACGGGCAAACGCTAGCCGATTACAACATACAAAAAGAATCGACTCTCCAACTCGTTCTCCGGCTACGTGGCGGCATGCAAATCTTCGTCAAGACACTCGCCGGAAAAACAATCACTCTTGAAGCCGAAAAGTTCGACACGATCGACAATGTGAAGGCCAAGATTCAGGACAAAGAAGGAATTCCATCTGGTCAACAGCGGCTGATTTTTGCCGGAAAACAGATGGAAAACGAGCGAACGCTGGTTGACTACAATATACAGAAAGAGTCGACTCTGCAACTCGCCTTGAGGCTTCGCGGTGGAATGCAGATATTCGTGAAGACGCTGACCGGAAAAACAATCACTCTTGAAGTCGAAAGTTTCGACTCGATCGATAATGTGAAAGCTAAGATTCAGGACAAGGAAGGGATTCCACCGGACCAGCAAAGGCTTATCTTTGCTGGAAAACAGCTAGACGACGGGAGGACTCTGGCCGACTACAACATACAGAAAGAATCGACTCTGCATCTCGTCTTGAGGCTTCGCGGTGGCTTTGTTTTGGATTCTATTTGAGTGTTTTTTAGTCTGGTTTTGAAGTTTTTGAAGCTATATGGGTATTGAAGGTTATGAATAAATTGGTTGTGGCTCTTGTTTAGCTTCAGATCTTATGATTGAGAAATCTTATGAATACTTTTGTTAATAGATATATGTCTTATAACCAATAGACAATAATACTATTCCCAACAAATATACAAATTTTTATAATTAAATTGTCATACTTTTAAAATACAATACAACTATAAGTATGATATATTGATATGAGGATATTTTGATATTTCAAAATCATTTTTTTATTAAAAAAAATGTGGTATGTTGATATGGTCGTTAGTATTGGCTCGTGAGGAACCGGTTGTGATCCGGTCATCATTGTCCATATGAAGGGGACCGGTTAAGCATTATGGTGGTCGGCGGTTGGGAGTGCT